GTCGACGGTCAGCCCAGGCATCAAATGATTGCCCAGACACTTTATTATGTATGAGGCGGCAGCAGCAGCAGTAGCAGCAACCAAACAGACAACAACAAAGACAATGGCAACAAATGAGGATGAACAATGAGCATGAGCATGAGTAAACAAATTATTTATATTTAAATTGTTTGTGTGCGCCTGCATTGTTGGTGCTCGAAAGTCTTGCATATACATTTGCGTCAGACACAGGCAACATATACGTATCTCTCCATATATAAAATTATTCAAACCTGTGAACAACCCATAGCTAGGGAGCTGACATTTTTACCGTAGTTAGCTTTATATACTTTGGTATTAAGGTGCACCCCAAGACGAGCTTTTGGGAAATTCAACCCAGTAGTGTGGAAAAGTCGGGGAAAACCTCTATTTTTTGTTTAACAGTAGATCGGCCCTTACGAAGTTTTAAAAAACCCCACTTCTCGGTAGAATTTGGGGTAAAAGATTTGTTAAGTTTCAGGTTCACTTTCATTTCCAAGGATTTTCATGGAAATTCAAATGAGACGTGTTTCACTCTTTTCGCAAAATCCACCCATTTTTTAATGGAAATGGCTCAAAGCTTGTATAAACGAAGATGGGCGGAAAACGTAACTACCAAGTTTTAATGTTAAGTTCGAAAGACGCCCAACTAATTTATAAATATATATGTAAATATAACTTAAGACGGCGTTCAAGAAAATACTGGTAGCTTTAAATTTTCACCTGGCGAGAAATTAATGTCTAAATACATTAGGCGTTAACCGGGCAAGGCCGGGAAATACCAGCCAGCACTTACACATACAGACAAATACAGTTAATACGTATATATATAGATATTCAAACGCAATGCTGAATATGATTATGTTGCGGGTGCAGCGACTTTTTTGTGCCAAGCCAGCCAGACAGTGAAAGGGTTTATTTATGCATTTCATTTGGGGCTGCACTTTGCTGTGGGCAGACACTGCCGGCGCGGGTCGGGGTTGCGTGTGTGGGCTGGCATTGTGGTTCGCCTTTGAGTTGATGTATTAAAAATTTTCGCACATGGCAGTTGGTTGGTTGTCAGCCGCCCAACACGTCGTCGTCCCTGCTGCGTTCACATAGACGAAAATTTGATTTTCCTTCTGCCTTAACTAGATCAAAACTCCCCGAGATGGGGACATATGCACAAAGCACACCACCAGCTAACCCCTCACCCCATCATCCACTGCCAGCAACTTTGCTTTGACTGTGCATTTTTCAGCGCTTGATTTGCTTTGGCTTCGCACCGCTGGATTTTGTTTTACGCATCGGTAGTGGCAAAGTGGCAACAGATTCGTGCTGATTAGCGTATCACAGGGAAGCACTGCTGGCACTTTGCTGCCAGTGTTTACCTTATTAACCGAGCTTGGAACTGCACTCGGAGTTTTTATGAAAAATTTTGTTAAAACTTTTTACGGCTGATAGCACTAGGTAGAATCGCTTCATGGGACGCACTTTCATGGCTTTTTAGCACATGCATATTATAAAAACAGCTGCAAGCTGTAGCTAAAAATTAAGTGAACTCTGAAAAACTGATGAATAATACAAGTTAAATCTAATTTTAAATAAAACAAAAGTATCTGCATAGTAAAGTGCTTAGGACTAATGTTTGAATGGGTTAACTGTTTGAATTTAAGACCGCAAATGAAATATAAGCTAATAACAAGAAACACGCCGAAGACTAAATACCTTTGTTGTGCCTGTCGGGATTACAGACATGTAAGAAGAATAGTGAACCGCGTAATTGCTGACTTTTGTGAAGATATCTAGAAAAACACAAAATTCTGTCAAGCAAAAACTCATTCTACGACCCATTCGTCCTGTAGGTCTATATGATAAGGTAGACCAACGTTGGAAAGGCATTGGTTCATATGTAAAGAGGCTAAATCCATACAGGAACCTGCTTTCCGACCGACCGAACGTTCCTGCGGCAGCTATACGATATTGTGGTGAAATCTGGCCTGCATCAATATAGGTACTGCCCGCAAAAAAGAACAGATGTATGCACTGTTTTATTACAATGGCCTCAAAGCTAGAAGAGTAGTTTGCATAGAAACAGACAGACGGACAGATACAAACGGATTGTTGTATGGATATATGTTTGCAAGCAAATGCGAGCATAGGCTGTCTTTCATAGCCTATATTAATTAATAAATGGTGCCCATCTTGACAGAGCATTTTGATGGTAGAGATCGCTTTCTCAGTAAACACTAATCAGAAATGGTTGGTGACCGTGGGCAATGACAGGCAGTTCATTTTCTTTGAAGCTAATCGAATATCTGGGATGCAATTTAATCAAAACGTAGTTCAGGCAAATGTCAAGCCATTTGTGTTTATTATTAATTTGCATTTTGATTGGAATTTGACACTGTCAACTGGCTGACATCTGTCGGCTTGTGATATTAGGCAATAATATTGGCAACTTCTTGCGAGAGTCAGGGTGAAACAACCGCCTCAAGCCGGTTCGATTAACGTTAACATTTCTCATGAATTTTTTAATAAATATTTAACTGACAGTCGCCCACAAAACACTGCAATAAATTGCTTGGCAATAATTGATTAATGTGGAAGGAGGTGGGCATCTTTCCAGCTACGCCCAATTTCTTATCGTTGACAGGCAAAGGAAAACGCAAGCTGAAAGCTGAAAACTTTTGCCATTTGCTTGGCTGAGCAGACGCATCTAATTAACACGGCCAACAACGCGCGGTTGGCAACTGGAAACTGGCAACGAGCGCCCCAAGGCTTAATGCTTTGTGCGGCAGAACCGCAGAACTAATTTAAATTGATTGAATATGCTTCGATAGCAATTCAATTAACTTTTACGCGTCCTTGTGCCACAGTTTTAGATAAATTTCTGCATCCGTTTAAGGTGCAGCCTCCGGTTGCTAGCGCTGTCAGGCTGCACAAATGAGATTCGGTTCGTCATTGCATGTGCGGGACATTTTGCATAGCAAGTGGCCTGGTTGGGTCCAAAAGTAGCGGAGCAGAAACTGAGCCTCGTCTCATTGCATTTTGTGAGCCAACTAAATCACCAGAAATCAGTTATAAATCCGTTGGACGTTGTGCACCAGGACATTAGACATACAAATACGTATGCATAATTCCCTTTGCCGTGGGTCCTTGGCGCCGATAGCGTTGCAGGCATTCCGCTCAACAGTCAGCATGTGTGTGTGTGTGTGTGCCTTTCAATTATTCAAATAACACAGAATTTTGGCAGCAATGGCTGTCAGGATTAATACAGCAACCAGGACGACCACTTTGTGTGCTGCCGTCGCGTTATCCTCGCAGCCCAGAGCAACGCTCATTTAGATCGTCAGGCAGCCAACGACAGTCGCACAGTCTGTTGGTCAGTCATGGGCTCTACGTAGCTGCCCATTAGTATACGTTTTGGGGCTTTGCATGTGCTGACTTTAATCTATTGCCTGGAAAATGCACACAAGCACACACACACACATACACACAGTTTGTGCTTGTGTGCGACATGAAAACATCAAACAACATTCGTCGGGTTTTAATTATTATTTGAAATCACGCTGACGCTGATGATGTCTGCCTCCTTTTGGTTAGGTTAGTCCATGTCCCTGGGAGCGATGGTGCAATCTAATGAAACATTAGCCACTCTCCTACAACAGCAACAACAAGCCCCGTCACAATGGACATCAGTCACGTGTGCGAGTGTGTGTGTGTGTGTGTGTAAATATGCATGGCAGACAGGCAGGGAATGATGCGCGCTTGAGCATAAATTTTATTGTTTGCACGGCAATAAAGCGACAACAACAACAGCAGCAACAACAACATTTGTTGCTAGCATCTTCGTTGTCATCCAGCACAACGAGGCAAACACACACAAGTGCTACAAATGTGCCAGGTAAATACTTATACATATGCAAATACATATTCTGGTACAGTCAAACCGTTTGCAAAATGTAAAGAAATGTTGACAGGCAGCATGTGGCCAGCTTAGCGAATGTTTACTGTTTGCTTTAACGACCAAATCAGAGATAGACAGAGTGAAACGCACATAGAGAATGAGAGAAAAAGTGTGAATGCAATTAGCCTATGGCAGAAAATGATGGCAATTAATGTTACCTGGGACACCATTTCGGCCATCAATTATCTCCTACAATTGCTAGCTGCATATAAAAATAGTCTCCCATTAATAAATATGAAAGTAGACCAGATGGACATGGCTATAAGGGCTCAGCTCAAAAAAAAAATGACTTGGAACTTAAAATGAAAAAAAATGTAGCAATTATTTGCGAATTTGGAGAATTTTCGGGAAGTGTTAATTTCAAGTCTCTTAATAATATATTTCTAAAATCAATTCTATTTGTTTTTATACCCTGAACCCAATAAAAATGGGTATATATTGTATTTGTGCAAAATCCAAGTGTATGTAACAGGCAGAAGGAAGCATATCTGACCCCATAAAGTATATATATTCTTGATCAGCACCAATAGACGAGCAGAATATTTGTAAGTACAAAAACTGGTGTTTTACCTACTATCGCTATACAGCTATATGATACATAACTTCGATTGTAATCGTAACTCATTTCGCATAATAGGAATATAAAATAAAAGGTTTAGTTAAGATATCTTAAGATATGTATATTATAGTATATATAAGAAATAGTAGTTTGACGTTGCTAAGTGTTTGCTTGTGAATAGTAAGATACAGAAACCAATATACGCTTAGATTGGACAAGATATCTTCATAGACTAACTTTTTGACCAACTATTACTATGCTACAGCGCGCTAAGGAGGCCAAAACTGAAGATCTATAGAAACGGACGGACGAGCATAGGCTTATTGACTCGGCTGTTGGTCAATGATAAATATACTTTATTGGGTTAGGCTTGTCTCCTTTAATAAGTCACACTTTTCATTCCTTATCGATTGTCTTTTAGTATGGTTGGTTGGTTTTTAATGTCTACAATCAATGTGTGCTGTTTTTAACTAGTTGAAATCAAATGTAATACATTCTATTCAAATAGAAGGAGCATACAATATTTTTGCCACGTGTATTAAAGTTCAATATCACATCAATTATTATGCAATTCTTTTGTTAAGAATTCACATTAAATCCAATAAGCAAATCTTTTATAATCTGGCACACATGTTCCAATGACCACAGTTGAAGGAGCCAATTTGATTGATAGCACCGGCAATGCCAGCAGCCTGTTGGCCACACTGTCAAGTGCCAATTAAACTAAAGCGTGGCAACAGCCAACAGACGTTGTGTATAGGCCGATAAAACTGCCAGTTATTTTTTCACGGCTCGCGCGAGAATTTTTTTTCCTCGCACTAATGACACAGGACACCTCCTAGGACATGGCCCACACCATGCAGGCCGCGTTGACGTTGATAGGCCACAACAATTTTCATTGGACAACCATTTACAATAAACGTCAGCGATTGCCGCGCGGCCAGCCTAAGCGTTTGTAATATGTTGGACTAAAAAAAAAAAAAAGGAAAAGAAAAGCAGAAAGGTCGTGTAGTTTAGGTTAAGCGCAAAATCAAATGGCCATTGAGGTTGGGGCTTGATAAGCGCTAATGAATGGTTTTCTTGTGCGCTTCAACGGGCCGTGTCTATGGCTGGCCGCAACCATGGCAGCAGTCGCAGCCGGACACTTGTCGCGGTTTGGGCAATTTAAGTGGCGGTTGATGTTGTCGTCCATGTCGATGTCGACGTTGACGCTGATGGTGGGGCTGCGGCTAGCATCGCTGCCTGCGGTTGGGCTGACGCAAATGTTTGGTTTCGCTGGCAATTAACGTGGCCAAAAAACAATGCTGCTGCATTTTTTCGTTGACCATTTTTGGGTCTTGTAATAAAATGGCAAACGTATGCCTGCAATCAATAACCGAAGCGAGCGGCCCCAACAAGTATGCTACGGCTTTTGTTTGCCCTTCTCTCTCTCCATATGTTACGTGTGTGTGTGCGTGTGTGTGCATATGTATATGTGTGCAGCCAAAACCACAACAGCAACAAATCGAATACAGTGACAAAGCGTAAGTGAGAGACAGGCTGTGACGGCGGCGAAGGCTACCAACAAGCGACTTAATACAGGCCCAGTTGATGAAGACACAAGGCAGATGGATAACGGCAGGTAAGCCAAGCATACAAATAAGAAATTTTGCAATGCCACAGCATCAAGAAGCAGCGGGCAGCGAATGAAGTGCAAGGGGATGATGAAGTGCCGCCGGCAAAACTTTTGAGGAGCACTCGGCAATCGGAACAATGGCAGCCTCTTTTGTGCTGGCCAATGCAATACAAATCGCTACCAATTTTCATCCGGACACACCAGAAAGCAGCAGGAAGGCTGAGCATGCTAGCTAAGCCATAAGCAATGGTCAACTATATGGCCAAACATGCGGCGCACACCTTTCATTTATTGTACGTTTCATACACGTACCTGCCTCACTACCTCGCATTCTCTTTCTCTGTCGCTGCTCTCTCTTTTTCTTTCTTTTTGTCTGCATGTGCTGGTGCCGTGGCCAACTTTTATACCGAACCGCGTGGGGTTTTGCAAGCTTTTGGACCACGTCTGCCGCCTGGTCCATGGCTCTGCATCGACTTTATGTTGTGCATGTGTCTGGCCGGGGTCTTTACGTTGGCTTGATTGGATTTGCCGATGCAAATGAAGAATCCAATTTTTAAAGTTTGTTTTTCGTTATCGTTACGTTTCTTGTTAGTCCTGCTACTGCTCCTGCTCCACCTGCCCAATGCTAGATTTTGCATCCTTCCCTCTTGTTTTTTTTTTGTACATGCAGCATGATGCTGCCTCATCCAGGGTTCAACAGCTGGCTGTGTCTTTGACGATTCCAGCCCAACTCTGCTCCCTTTGTTGTTGTGTGCTTGTGAGTGTGTTGCTTGCACGATTGTTGTGTATATTTTTTGGCCACATCAACACAGATACGCGCACAAACACATGCATACAACTAACTGTCCACCCATTGACACAAAGCATCAGCATGCCGAGGCAACAGCAATAACAACAACAGCAACTGCAACAATAACAGCCTTTTCAAACTAAAAGGCAACACTCACACACAGACACACTCACACACCCTATAAAAAGCACAATTTTTTTGCTCTTTATTTTGCATGCCATTTGTCTGCTGTTGTTGTTTTTGTCGACTCCGCCTTACCACAAAATCGAATTTTCACTTTTAAACAATTGACGTTGCCTCACTCACATGCCGTAGATTTGCCTACTTCTCTACTATCTGCATTTTTATACCCTTGTAAAGAGTATTAGAGTTCTTGCATGAAACTTGTAACGCATAGAAGAGCACAAAACTATTATAACCTGTTTCTGTAAAAACTTGTCTCCTGATTTCATGAATCTTTAGAAATGTTGCATAGGTCAAAGTCGGCTGAAACAAAAAATAAGTTGCACACACACTTTTTTGATATTTTGGCCATAGCTAGAAAGCTTCAATTAAGGTTTTGCATGAAAAAGGGAACAATTCTGGTTTAAGCCAATCCGAACTTCACTTTGGCTTTAACATATACACCCTTTTAGACAAAATGTTAATAAGGGTATTAAATGGTCGACAATAGTAAACAATAAGTTTTACTTGTCTTACCTTATATTAGTACAATTGGTATTTCGTGCCTTACAATTTGTTGTTTGCCCATTGTTTTTGCTTTGGTCAGATTAATTTTTGGCCAACTCCTAGGTTTTGTTAAGTACGCTCCTTTTCCAGCTTCGAGTTTGCCGAGCAATCTAAGAAAAATACAAATATTTTACTGATTATGGTACACAAATTTCAAACTTCTACATACTAATATCGAGGGTAGATTAAAATTTCCCACTTATCGAAGTAAACTCGCGATACACACTCAATTTACGGCACTAAACGTCAAATGTCTAACCATTTTATATTTATTTATTTACTTTTAACAGCACAAGCAATGTAAATATATTCTAAAATCATTATTAAATGTCTGTTATTAATGTGGGGATAGGTCAAGTGGAAAGAAGCAGCAATGTATTTCATTACTCATCTAAATTTGTTAGTCAAACAAATTTGCCCAAATATAAGGCTGGCATAAAACAATACAATTAAATTGCTTGAAATTTGATAGCACCTCTTCGGAGCGCGCAATAAAGCCGGATCCAACGCGTTGGCCACTTCATTAAATAATTGAACACCAAATACTGGTAATTTATCATTAATGATTGCCACAAAACCAAAACAAAGCACCCAAGAACAAGCTATAAGAGTGGGCGGCACTAATATACCCTGTAATTGCTGCTAAATGTTAAGGCAGAGGGAGCAACAAATTATTAAACATATAATCAAATTTAATTGGCTTCAAATTTCTACTCTCACATGAACGCGGAGGAGGGCTGCACGCAATTGAAATTAATTTTTTAAAATAAAAGGATCACCTGAGGCAATTTTACAGGTAAGGTCTTGGTGAAAAGACTTGAATAAAATGAACTCGCTCTTAACAAAGTCAATATTTGGACGATCCCTTTATACCGTTGCCATAGGGTATTAACAAGGTACACTGTCTGTTTGCCTCGTCCAGATCCCCGCCTACAAAGCAAATTACTTATAAATTTGTGTGCCAAGCGAGCCATTGACAGCGGCTACAATTACCGCCGAAGCGGTATACTATAACAACAGGCAATGGAGCAACATAAACTCAAATAAATAAATCAGCTTTGGGCATGTGTTAATTATCTAAACCAAAAAAAAAACAAAGGCGCCATGATAAATGGTCGAGACACATTAACATATTATATATGCAGGCCATAAGAACAGATTAAAAAAACATTCGCTGAACACCACTAAAAGGTTTTCACAACTTACCAGAATTAAAGTTCATAATGCTTCACGAAAAACTAAAATATATGATTTTATTTTAAGCAATTCGCCGAATACTACTTGTGCACTCCTGTTTTAAAATACATAATGCTTTAGAAGCAAAATCAAAATTTTTCATTCTAAATACGTATTTTTAGAACTTTTGACGTTTTGAGTGCTCTTCAACACTAAATATTTAGTTGTGTTTCCAACACTGAATTGAGATATTTATCAACAGTGAAACATAATCATTATTCAGCACTGGTCCTGAATAACTTGAATATTTCAGGCTGCGGCAATCCTTTAAATTTATTTATAGGCTAAGTAGTTTTGTTGTTGAAAACTTGTACAGCTCTTGATAATGGCAAAGGCTACGTTAATCTGTTTGCATGTTAAGCGGCATTCAGAATTAGCCCCCGCTTATGCCATAAATCGTATCGCGAGAGAGCGTTAAACGTTGGTCAAACAACAAATATCAAGTTTTATTGACCCACAAATAACGTGCAGATAATTACAAAAACAATGGCAACCGCTGGCGGCTAGTTGGTGGCCAAAACAAATGCGCAAGTGGTCTTTGCCATGGGTATTTGTTGGCCCTCAGAGCCGGTGGTGGTGGTGGTGGTGTGTTGGTGGAATAACATGGCAAAGTGGAAAAACTACTTACAAGTATGTTAACATGCGCAATTGTTAGGACCCATTGCCGTTGTCTTGTAGCCCTCAGGGCGGCCCAAGACCAAGCCCAAGCCAAGACGAGTATGCAACAATAGCTTCAGCATTTTCCTTTCTTATTTGCTTTTCCCACTACTCTGCGTTTCGACCAAGATGCTCGAGTTTATCTGTTGTGGTCATGGCAAAAAGTAATCCAAAAGATAAAATACAATAAAATAAAAGGCCAAGCGGTGAGTAATGTCTGTTCTCGATGTTGCTGTTGTTGCTGATATTCTCATTGTTGTTGTCTATATTTTTTTTTCCTTTTGGTGCTGATGTTGTGGCCAGCGCTGCATTTGTGGGCAGGTCGCTTAGACAATACCTTCGAGCATCTCGTGTATTGTTGTTGTGTGTGCATAATTTATACGGCAAGCTTCTCATGTTTTTGGCTAAATTATTTTCCTGGGCTCGGCACGTGCTACGCTGCCTGGTCGCAGATTCAATGGCTCGGGCGCAAAGGCTCCAGGTCAACAATTTGGTCATAAATTTTGGCGCCTGGCCTGCGACACGCTCTATGACATTATTGAACCCGAAAGGGGATATGGCCAAACAAAAACAGCAGTAACGGCCAACGGCCAAAAGCACATAAGCCAACCACTTGACCTTGAAAATGTGTGCGAGACCATAAAGACTGAATAGTGAACTGCATAAAAAGGTTTCGGTAATAGATATACCAACTTTAAGTTAATCAGAAGTAAATAAAGGTAATCGAGCTAATAACAATAAGCAACATATGTACAAAATTACTTTTTGCTTAATAGAAATTATCTTTATTTCTAACTATCCGACTCAGCTTGGAATTTTAACTGCCTAACATTCCAAGATTTGGAAAGCTCCATCTATAAATGTTTGTATAAGCCTTAGCAAACCATCAGCAAAACAAAAAGACCTCTGGAAGATGTAAGTACGAGAAATAAAGTCAAGTTGTCGAAACTTGAATACGCTTCAAGGCATTTAAGTCGAACGTGCAAAATAGTTGTTTGTAACTGATTATTAAGCCGACTCGTGATCTAGGCTTACAATTTAAACAATCAGATATATTCTTTTATATAAGCCAATATACTAGACAAAGAGTATTTAATCTTCTTTAGGCATTAAAATATATTGTTAAACGCTTTCATTGTTCGTTGTGGAGTTATAAACAATTTTACTCAAGAATATATTGTCGAAAACTGTAGGGCATGACTAAGCGCGTTTGGGAATTTTTTGAAATTTTGATCGAATCATTTCGACCGGAGGCGTATAAGTGAGTAGTATAAGTAAAAGCAAACGTGATTTATCAACGATTAAGAAATACAAAAAATTAAAAAAGGCTTTGAATACGACTTGAGTTCTTGAGACGAAAAAAAGGCATTTGTACATCAAATTCATGAAACACGAAAATTTTCTTCAAAGCGTTACATATTAAACAACAAAAAATGTATACGCTCTGCTAAGGATTAAATAACTGACTTGCGGATGACTTAGCCCAGTTTTTTTTATTAGGCAAACGAGTACTTTGGGCTGAAATTTTTATTGGCCTTTTCTGGATTTTAAAGCCAACTGATGTCTTCCCCTGTTGCTGTTTTTGCAGTTGTTTCTGCTGTTGCGGTTGCAATTGCTTTGGGACCATTTAGCATTTTTGAAGTAACCACATGGGGCTAAGGCCAACGCCAAAAACAAGTAACATGGAGGCATCTAGGAGACGCAGACGCCGAAGCGTTGAAGTATTACAAAACTCTAAACAGGCACAAAAGTTTTGCCAGAAAGGAAATTTTCTTAATTTGATTTCTTCGGCGCCCCTGGAGTGCAGTGCGCTGCCTAAATGTGCGTGTATATTATATAAATATGTATATATAAAACACAAGTCGGGACCCAAAGGCAGCAGACAACGTGTAATAAAACAGGGAAGGCTCCGAAAAAGGCTTGGGCACAAAGTTTTTAATAAAGTTTTTATACCTTGCCGGCAAAATAAAGTCGGCCCTCGGTGCGTTGCGGGAAAGCGGTGCAAACGGCAATAATTGAGCCAATTTGTTGTAAAGGGAATAGAGGAATGAACCAGAATGTTGAGCAAGGTAGGAGTGCACTGGGATTATGTACTACAGCCTTACAATATCTTGAAGAAATTAACGCTTGAAGAGCGTGAATTTTAATTAGGGAAATATGTAAAAATCAGCCTAAGATAGTATAGATAAGCGACGTACAAGGCATAACTCAAACCGATTCAAGTGTAGGGTATGGGCACGCTTAATAAATTTATGCTTATAAACCATGTCTTTAAATCGATATTTATCGATGTGACGATGTTATGTTACGGTATAAAAAATAAACTATACATATTAATTTAGAAATTCGTCTTTTGAGTAGATTGAATAAAAAATGAAAGACATGCATATTAAATTGCCCAAACATTTAAATATAGAATAAGGCTTCAAAGCTAGAGTTCGAAATCGGAGTCGAACAGGTCAGTTGCTTTAATGTGGGGGATAAGTCATCTATTGACATGCATCTGCTCTACCCGCTGATCATTTGCGTAGCGAAAGTAAATTTTCAATTGCAAATATCCAAGCAACAATACTTGAGGGAACTTGTAGCAACCACAAGGCAGTGCACACAGAGTACACACAGCTCCCAAATGGCGCTTGAATTTCATTTCAAAACAATTTGTAAAAGTCTCATACACACTCGCAGCAATCGAAGCTTGTTTGGCAGCTAAGCAAATTTGCAGTCATCCGCTGCTGCTGAGCCAGCAATGGCAAGTGCGTGCCAGGATCAGCAACTGTTGGCCTCCTAGCTGCTCCTCATCTCTGTGTCAATAGTTTTGCGCAGTTTTTTCAATATATATTTTTATATACCCTCAAATAAATAAATAAATAGGGTAGTTTTGTGCCAGGCAGAAGGAAGCGAGAGCTGGGTCAACATAGCCATGTCCGGACTCAGATTCTCGTATGGTATATCAAAATTAAGAATATTCTAATTTTTAGATGCATTCTCCACCTATAAAAATTAAGGAAATGAAAAAGGTCACAGAGTTTAGTAGAAGGTTGACTTGACACGGAGACAGGTTCAGGGTATTTCCTGGCCGTGCACTGTCGACTAGAGCACTCTTGTTTTTTTTTTTTCTCTCTTCTATTTTTTGATGAATTGACATGCAATGCTATTTGTCAGCAGTCAATATGCTTGTTACATTAAATTGCCAGCTGACTGCTGGCGGCTGCAGTTG